CAGACGGGGAAAGTGGGGGGTTTGTGACAGACAGCACCATTCCTGACTCGTCCTCCATTGTCTCCATGCAATCATCTATGTCCACAAGATCTTCCCGCTCTGGACTCACCCGGCAAGGTGCCTTAAAAGCCACACAAAGACCCTTACACATCCACCCTCCTTCTTCTACAACATGTTCCCAAACATTAATTTTGTTGGTTTGAAAATGATATTTTTGAAAATATTTTAAACTTGACAAATGCAGTGGATTTCTTTATTTTCAATTAAACAGCCAAAATGCACACATTACTAATCTCACTAAGATATTCAAATTCAGCTTTAGATTCTTTAGTATTAAAGACAAAAAGATCCAACGTGATCTGCAAATGGGTTTGTATTGAATATTGATTAACCAAAGATGTCCAATTATTATATCAATTTCTGTCACAGGATCAACATTCCGACCATTAAACTCTGGGAAAAAGTCAGAAAAGTCCAGAACAAGGCGGAGACACAGGAAGACTGTTACAGGGATTCCAAAACACGTCCAGAAAGAACTGGGTATGTAAATTACCTTTTGAATGTGTAAATCGTCTCTGAAATTGCCTTTGTAAGTTGATTGGTTTAGTAACTGATGAAGGAGATACTAGTGTCTCTTAGATAACATTGTGAACCTGTCCTGATAACTCTTCTTGTTTTATACCAGGATTGGACCGGACAGACTGGACACTCACTCAGCCCTTGGATGAGGAGCAGTTTTGCAACGGTGAATCTGCTGATGGACCACACGAACGGTCAACAAGGGAAGGTGGCGGTAGCCTCAAAGCTCCGAATGTAATCCTGCCTCTCAGTAAAGGCAGACTCAAACAGCTTAGTGCCGCCCATGCTGGCCCTAGGGACGACCTGGCCCTGCTGCATCGTCTGGGTCCGGACTTGGAAGGAGGGCAGAGGCCCCGGTCTTTGGCGGTTCCCTGGATGACCACTGGCTCCAGCCTCCAGCAACAGCCCCCCAGCCCCGTCATGTCCATGTCTCCCCAGGCCGCTTACCTGTCCAAAATCATTCCCAATGCCGTGCTGCCGCCCTCCATCGACGTGGTGGAGATCAGCCGTGGGCGGAGTCGCAGCAGCGTGCGCACGGTCAGTAAGAGCAGCCTGGTGCTGTCCAGTCCAGCTCCCTCCCGGGCATCTTCCAGGGCCTCCTCATCCAGAACCACCTCCTCAAACATCACCTCTGCCTCCCGCTATAATGCCCCGAATGTGTCCGACAGCTCCTGCTGGAGCAACTCCGAATCGTCAGAGACGTTGGTGTCGGACTCCTCAACCATCTCCAGTGGCAGCACGCCCAGACAGCAGAGGTCCCAGGCTGAGGGTGGTTCTATTAAGCAGGACACGGTTCCTGGTAGCTCTTCCAAATACCCCACCAACGGCGCCTCTAATGGCAAGCTAATTATTAAGGAAGACAAAGTTGAGAAGGACGGGCAGTTTGTGCGCAGCCTCTCCGTCATCAAGCCCAAAAGGGCCCCGCCTCCTCCCAGTCGCTCGTATTCCCTCCACAATCGGATGAAGAGACGGTCGCGAGACCTGGCAGAAGCGAGGACCGTTCCCGGAGAATCGTCTCCTCACGGCACCCGGGCCACAAGAGAGGGAAAGGAGAAGGGCAAACTGGAGCCGCCCCCCTCCACGAGCGTGGACAGCCCCGGGTACCAGGGAGACACCAGCTCCCTGGACGACTCCACCGGCTCCGTCACGCTGGCTCTCATGAAATCTCAGCTGCAGGAATCGAAGAGACAGGATGCGAAGATTAACGCAGAAACTGGGTCCAAAGAAGCTTCGCAACACAAAAAGGAACCAGCTCGGGACAATGACCACAACAAAATTGTCTCCCCGTCCAGTGGTTACTCCAGCCAAGACGGGAACTCCCCGCAAGGTTCGAAACCGCCTCACAGCTCATCTCCGAAGCATAAGAAGGGCTTCTTTGCCAAAATTCACATGTTAATTCATGGTTCCCCGTCTGCTGGTTCAGCTCCTTCCCCTCCCACACAGCCAAAGGTTCAGGCTAACATCCCAGAGGGGCCTAATCCCACTGTGACTCACCCAGTTAGCCCCTCTGTTCAAACGCTGAAGGAGCTCTTCAATATTCCTCCCCCACCCAAAGTTCACGCACCTCCACCTCCTCCCCCTGAGGTATGGGCTCACAATAAGCGCACGTTTGAGCTGCTCCTGGGTCCTCCGGCTCCTGACAACACATACGCCATCATAAAAAAGAACCCGAAGGACAGGAGACAACAGAGGCCGCCTGCTCCCGCGTCTACCGAGGGCTCCGTAAAGAGCAAGAACAGGAATCCAGCCGCACCAGTGGAGGCCCCGCACGCATCCCTGGAGGATCCGCAGGCAATGAAAGCTCAAGAAAGTCGGACTTTGAACGGAGAGACTCATGCAGAGAGCGCCGAAAGATTAGCCGACAACGGAGACGTGAGAGGAAGCGCTAAAGATGAGAGGATGCCAGGAGCAAAGAGAAGCGAGGAAGCTGGGAGCGTGTCCAGTTTTCCTCCAGACGCGAGCACCAGGGCAGACCCAGCACCTGTCCTCTCGCTGGGGCACATATCTTCATCCCCGTCTCCCTCCCTGGAGCACCATCCTCCTCCACCCCTCCCCACACCGCTCACATCTGGACAGGTCGTGTCACCCGAGTCGTCCTGGCCCCCGCCGCCTCCCCCCATCGCGCCACTAGGCACCCCCGGAGCAGATGAGGTGGACCTCCCTCTTCCGCCTCCTCCACTGCTGGGGGAGGAGGTGTTGGTCTTACCTGTTCAGGTGCCTCTGAAGGAGTCCCCTTCTGTTAAACCGGGGCTGAATGAAGAATGTGTCACACTGATCACAGGCGCTCAACCCCCGAAGGTCAGAATTACTCCGGAGGAGGCTGCGGTCATCCCCCCCCCGCCCCCATATACGGCTCCACCCGCTCCAGTGGCAGCAGCCCCGCCTCCCAAGACTGAAAGAGTCCCCCCGCCACCGGAAGAAGTTTCACCGGCACCCCCCCTACTGAGGCCCGAGCAGTCCCCCGCTCCTGTCCCTCCAGATGTTACGCCGCCAGTGGCAGCAGTATCTCCTTCACCGCTTCCAGATGTCCCTCCTCCGCTGGTTGTAGAGGAGGAGAGCAGGAGCCCTGAACCCCGAGAAGCTTCACC